CAATCTCTATTTTTATATTATCCAATTACATTAAAATGACTCAATCATATCACTCTATAAAAGTTATTTGTCTTTTTCTTTTGACCAAACATGCCTCTAACATTGCATGACTACATTATATAAGTCTATGAGAGCTACTTGTCTCTTTTTTCCATCTCTAACCAAGCATGTTTTTTTTTTTATAGCTACACCCCATATATTTTTATTTTTCTACTTGGCAATCATCAAAGTAAGGCAAATTTAAGTATGTGAAATGCGCGTAATTTCAAATACTAAAGGGAGCAACTAATAAGGTTGTTAAAATAAAAAAGAAAAACTTGGGCTCAAAACTAAGCCTAAGAAATAAATATTGGGCTTAAAACAAAGTCTAATAAAAAAATAATGAGGTTATCTAAAATTAAAGAAGAAAATCTTTGGCTCAAAACTAAGCTTGTAGAGGGAATTTTAGGTCAAAATAGAGTCTAATAAATAAGTGAGAGAAAGAGAAATAGATGGTACCCAAAATGAAGTAGAAAAATCTTGGGCTTAAAAATGATCCCAACAATAAAGAAAAAAGGATGCCCAAAAATTAAAGAAAAAAAGCAAAATCAATAAAGAGAAGGAAAAAAAAAACAAACTGAAAAGGAGAAGGGAAAATCAAGGAGGATAACCTTAAGCTCAAAACTAAGCCTTATAAATATCAAAATCAATGAGAAAAAAACTTAGGCTTAAAACCGAGTCTAGTGAAAATAAGTTAGTTTCAAAACCAAACCCAACAAATAAAGAAAATAATAGCTATAAACTAAATAATAGAGGGGAAGATTGGTCTAAATCAATCTCTCTGGGCTCACATCAAGGTTATTTTATTTTTCTTTTATTTTGAGTATTATCTATGTTAGATACATTAAACAATGTTAAACAAACTTTCGCCGCAACAATCACCACCTAAATCTCTTGTTTTATATAAACATCTGCTTGAACGTCTTGTTTCACAAGTTAACAATACGAGTACTTATATGAATTATTATTTCTATAGTTTAACTACAAGGTTTCACACGTTTCATGATAAAAATAATTATTTTTCTATAATTATTCCTAGGAGTATGATAAACAACATGTTCATAACCTTACCCTATATAGTACAAATTCATATGATTAAGCAAGTATAGATACTCAAGATCACCAAGTATGTAACATAACATAACATAATAAATTATGAAATAAATCAGAATTATTTAAACATAACACTCTTATATATATTTTTTTAATATATGTTACATAAGTAATTTGCTACTACCTTAAGCATAAAAGGATACTATAAACCACTATCCCAACCCAACTTCAAAATTTTTTTCAAAGCCCATTAAATATTCCTGTAAGGTTTGAAATATTTTTTTGACTTTTGTCTCCCAAATCCCTGTAGTTTTCTTTTCTTTTTTTCCCTCGTAATTCTAATTTAGCAATGGCAGGAAATTCCGAGGTACTCACTGGTTCTGGGAAGGTTTCCTGCGCAAAGTGTAAACTACATGTATACATGCCTATAATTTGGCAACATTTACTTACCCTGAAGGTGTCCAAATCTTTAGTAGGAGGGACTGAAAAGAGTCATGAAGGAAAGGATCTACACCACCGGCCCATTATAATTACTTCTTTGCAGCCACATGTCCACGTGGACAATTAACTGTAGCAAAGCCCAAAGCATACGAGGAATGCACATAGCAAGCAAGCAAATGCAATCGAATCACACACATGCAAGCCCGGCTTACAAGCAACTTCCTATTCACTTTCTAATTTTCAGAAAAAAATTGTTGATTGGTTCGGAAGATGGGTTTGAGAACTTCAGTATTATAGGGGAAACTGGAATTCTGAAAAGTGCATAATGGTAGGATTCGAAGTACTAATACAATGGCAATGTATAAATCATAAAGGCAAATGATGAATACATGTGCGGACAAGGTTACAGATTAGTTTTTCCGATGTGGCAGATTCCGGTGATCCACTGGTGACTTCTTTTTGGGGTTACAGATCCACTTATCACTTTGATGCACTACTGAAAAGTAAAAGTGAAGAAAAAGGAATGAATGGAACCTCGATAAACTTGCATGAAAGAATTAGGGAAAGAATCAAACCCGCTTTGCTCTAAATGCTTCCTTCAATGGGACTAATATATTAATTTTACTGTCCCTCCGTCCTCACGTATTCTCACCACCCTGCTTTATATGCCGCCTCCATTTTCACTCTTTACCTCCACAGAGAGAAACATGCAAAGAGGGATGGCACGTCTTAATCTGCATCTACTGCTGTCGCTGATTCTACTCGCGGTCTCATCAGGTAAACGTTTTCTAAATCCTTATCAGCTCTGCTCCTTGTTTTATGAATTAATTAGCTAACTCTATTGATTTATAGTGCTATGCCAGGTTGGTTTATTTGATAGTGTAGAACGTCATGGGTTTTTAGTAGGGTCCACCACTAAAACTTCTTCAGTACAACTTCCTTAATGTTATACTTATACCCCTGGTTTGCAATACCATCAACCGACTACTAGTGTGTTTGATAAAACCGAGAAGTACTAGTAATAATTTGATAGTGTAGAAAGTCTAGGGTTTTTAGTAGGGCCCACCACTAAAACAGTAAAAATACATTTAAGATTGAATTCAGGCTATTTTTTAATATTTGGTTCAGAGAAAAACGATAAATAAGTTCGGTTAATATAACCTTCAGTTTAATTAAAAAGTTGTTACAAAGATTGAATTAATCAAGATTTTTCTTTGATGGAAATTTAAGATTTTTAATTAACTTATTGATTTTTTTGAATTATGATTCAAAATTATAGACGTTTCTCTATAATAATTTAAATCACTAGCCATTCTTACAACCTTTTGAATCTATTTCATCATAATATTTTCCTGTTCTTAACTCAATTTCCCCGGATGGACAGGGCCAAAAATGATAGAGAGTCTGAGAGTCTTCACCATAACTAATTATTGCAAAGAAACGGTATGGCCGGGTATCTTCCCAGGTGAGAACTTCAATGGTGGTGGATTTGAGTTGAAACCAGGCCAATCTAGTGTCTTAAATGCTCCGGTTGGCTGGAGTGGGCGGATATGGGGAAGAACAGGCTGTCGTTTTGACAAAAATGGCAACGGTTCATGCAAGACTGGGACCTGTGGTTCATTCCTGAAATGCAGGGCCTCAGGTGAAACCCCTGCCTCACTTGCTGAATTTACCCTAACAACACTCGACTTTTACGATGTCAGCCTTGTCGACGGGTTTAACTTGCCAATAACTGTTACGCCGATCAACGGTAAAGGAAATTGCAGTGTAGCTGGCTGTGATGCAGATTTGAGGAATACTTGCCCTTCAGAGCTGGCTGTTAAGTCCAAGGGAAAGGTCATCGCTTGTCGAAGCGCTTGTGATGTGTTCAACACGGATGAATATTGTTGCAGGGGACTTTATGGAAACCCTAGGGTGTGCCAACCTACATTTTATTCAAAGAAGTTCAAAGAAGCTTGCCCCACTGCTTATAGCTATGCATATGATGATCCTTCCAGTATTTGTACGTGCGCAGGAACAGATTATGTCATCACCTTTTGCTCATCCAGGTTAGTAAACAGGACGACCACATATATTAAGATTTTCAGCTTCTTTCCTATATAATATCCATGGATATATATATATATATATAAGCAGAAGAATCCCTACAAGAATAAGAGAAATTCTGTCTTATTAAAGTTTTTGGATTCGGTATAAACATGTATACTTTCTGGTTTTGATTTCAGGAAGCGAGGGGTTTGCACCTACCATAATAACAAGCTTGTTTGCAGTGGATCAAGAGGCTTAAAATCACTGATTGAGAGATGGTGGGCTCTCGTTTTCGTATTGCCACTGTTACTTGCCTTCTGATAATGGATTCTAAGCAAGAAGAACACGTTTTCTGTTTTCGAAGCCTCATTTTTTATGAGCTTCACCTTGTACGATTTTATTACCGATTTAATCTTCTCTTCGCGCGAGGAAGTATTTCCGAATTGAATGTAGATACGGATTTGCTCATTCTATTTATTTCAACTTAATTTGTTATTTCTTTAAAAAGATAGAAAGAATGGCGTCTGTTTATCCTTTTGTACATCGCCCCCAACACGGAGGGGGAGGCGAGGGAATTTATTTAATGAGCGTAACTACTGCAAAATCGGCGAGCATTACTATTGAAATCTTTTATCCGTTCTTATTTGGATTGAATTATTTTTAATTAATTTTTTTAATATTAACTATTTAAAAATATTTTAAATTTTAAAATTATATTTAAACACTTTTTATCGTGTTTATATTATATAATTTAAAATTAATTTATTTTAATATTTAAATTGAAATCATGTTTATATATATATATATATATATATATAGAATGTTATTTTATTAAATATCATTTAATTTTAAATTTATTTTCAAATCCAATTATAATATTTTTTATTACATTAGCAAGCATTTTTTTTATATCCCTTTATTATTTTTTTATTAAATAATTAAAATATCATTTTGATAGATTTCAATCAATTTAATATTTATTTTTTAATAAGATTTACACCTTTTTTATATAATGTTAGCTATCATTTTGTTGATTGTTCCATGTGAACCTGCTGCATATTTTTTTCATCATGAATATTTTATTAAAAATATTTTTTTCTTGAATTTCTATTGGTTTTTGTTTAATGAACTGTGTTTTTTTATAAAAAAAAACTATATTTTTAAATATACATGTAATCTTAAAACTACATAGAGAAATGAAAAAAAAAAAATTGTCCTTGGCGTTTAAATTTGATATACTGTTCATTAGCATATGATGTATATTTTAAAAAATATTTTTTAATTAAAAATATATTAAAATAATAATTTTCAATTTTTTTAATAACAGAACATTCAAATCATAAAAATGACATTAAAAAATAATTATAATTAAAAATAAAAAATAAAACAGAACAAAAACCCTCGTACGCGGGACCCATCCTATACAAGCAGTGCGTATATAAAACGTGGTAAGTTCTCTCACCCAGTCCCTCCGAACGGAGAAGAAAAACATCAACAGTCAAGTTGATAAAAAAACAAGAAGAAGAAGACTGAAAAATGGCGAGTGGCGGTGCTGCTGCTGCTGGTGGTGGAAAAGTGTCGTTCAAAGTTACGCTCACCTCCGATCCAAAACTCCCTTTCAAAGTGTGCGTTAATTCGTTTCAGTTTCTTTAATTTTCTTTTTTCCTTTTTGATTCGCTGTTGAGTTTCTTAATTGCGGTTTATCTTTTAATTCAATGTGCTAATTTTTGAAATTCCAGATTTAGCGTACCGGAAGCAGCCCCGTTCACGGCCGTTTTGAAATTCGCTGCCGAGGAATTCAAAGTTCCTCCCCAAACCAGCGCTATCATCACCAACGGTACTTCTCTTCTTTCGTGTTTCTTCTTATAATTTGTTTTTACATGCAATGAGAAAATGCGTGTAAAAATATGAGAGCAGCAAAAAATAAGAGGACATAAGAGTTTGAAATAATTTGATAAGAGCCTCATGAGATTATGTTGGAAACAAAAGCATTGAGTATAAGATAATTATGGTATATGTTAACTATATGCATGTACAAGGCAACAAAATGTCACTCTAATGATGCATATTGAAAAGCCTATTTAATATTGCGGCAGATATTGTTTTTCAAGGTTTTTTTATTTGAAAATATATTAAAATAATATTTTTTTATTTTAAAAAAAATTATTTTTGATATTCAAAACGATATAAAAACAAAAAAAAAATAAAACATTTTCAATTTTTTTCAAAATCATTTTTGAAATTCAAAAACGTTTCTGAAACTAAAAAAGAAACAGGTTTTTAACCAAGATGGTTGAACTAATGTTAAATCATATATCACTTGTGGTTTCTCTAAACACCAATTTGACCTTTCAAAATTATCTTACTATTTTTTTATTTTTTTATTTTAGTTTTGCTGTTACTCCCTGCTAAATTGTTGTTTTGTTTTCCGCCCTTTTTAAGATATTACTTACATGGTTTGGAGGTTGAGTTTTTCTTGATTTTGTCATTGTTTTTACACTCTGGCAAAATCTATGTGATGTAATACTTGTTCTGATGGAATTCTATTTTCAAATAGATGCCCATGTTGGAATTTGATTTGACGGTGTGATGGAGTGGATTTTTTAATTAGTTTAATTGCTTGTTTTACATTTTGATCTTATATATATATATATATATATATGAACTGTAAAATCACAATTTTCATGAGATCCTCTATGATTTTCAACTGGGCGAGCTGTCTGTTGACAAATTCAAATTTTATGTTTAAATAATTTTTCATAGCATATTACTTTTGGCCTCTAAGTATTTTTCTTGTTTTACTGATCATAGTCTTCTTCTGTTCTATCTGTTACTCTTGGTGGCTTAACAACTGGTATGTGCTGTTTTAGGACTCTTAAGGACTGTTTCATTTCTATTTTCTTATCATGTTGGTTAACATATTGCTTTTAGCCTCCTAAATTTATAGGTAAAATGCTGCTAAATCTATGCAACTGGGAAACAAGAAAACTTAAAATGGCCTTCTTTTTTTTTAAGTTGAAGCTTTTTCTTGTGATGCGTATATGCATAACAGAGACTTGCACAAATGTTGTATTCTAGATTCTACTGGTTTCCCTGAAAATCAATTTGAGTTGGAAAGTAATCTCATCCCAAATTTTTAATGTTTTATTTCTATTTTCTCCCTCTTAATCTGGCCTTCCACTCTTCTCCTAAAAAGATCATTCTTTAAACAGTAGGAAAGTTGTTTCTTTAGTTTGCATTGCCCACCTTGAGTGATTAGTTTTTGGGACATGATAGTTGTTCTGCTGGAATCTCATTTTCTGGGACATTTTTCCTGCAATTGGATTTGGCATTACACAATGGAGTGAATTCCTTTTAATTAGTTTTAATTCCTGATTTTGTCAAATGGAAAACTTGGTTTTTATCCTATTTACTAAAGCTCGCTTGACAGTTTTCATTTTGATGAGCTCTTTGCCTATATCCGATGTTTGTTTACTGCTGCTACACCTCAGGGATGGACCTACTTGGTCCTTTGAAGAGGAACATATTTGAAAACTAGAAGTTACCTCATTTTAAGCTATTTAGACCAGAAAACTTTTCCTTTTTTGATGATTGCCTCCTCATCTCATTTTGTTTGTCACCTGTACCCTCTTTTATTCTGAAATTTGGAGTCGGTAAACAGCTAGCATGAGCTGTTTCAGGACTCTTAAGGCAATGTTTGGTTCTTGTATTCGAAAAGTGATCTTTGTTTTGTAAAATAAAAGGTTGTTTTGTGGGACTAGAAAACTCATCTTACATACTGTGTTACATCTGTTTAATGAATCTTGTACGAGAAAGTGCACTCTATTTTTGGAATAGAAAGGAAGTTGAATTCGGGCTAACATGTTCTGAAAATACACATGAAAGACACGGGAACCAAAAATAGAGGGTTTCAGTTAGGTTAAAATATCTTGTTTTAACCATCGTATGGTTTTGGAGAAGAGTTTTGAAATTCTATGCAACTATGAAATCTTTAAACCTATGTTGCTTTCCTTTTTTAAAGTTGAAGGCTGTTCTCTTGATGCTTTTGTGTTCAACTGAGATGCTTGAACAAGTGTCAGATCACATGTTTTTGAATATCGATTTTGAGCTTGGAAAATAATTTTTCTTGAACTTTTTGTTCAGTCCCTGCTAAACTGTTTTCTTGACAAACGACTCCCTTAAAAGATGTTCTTATTTACATGGTTGAAAAGTTAAACTTTTTTGCATTGTTTCTAGACCCTGAGGACTATTCTATGTGATGTTGTACTTCTGCTGGAATTGTATTTTGGTCTGTATTTGTCTTGGACTTTGATCTGGCATAGTGCCATGAAGTAAAACTGTGATTCACTGTCTGCATTTCTCTTTTTCATACGGAAGACCAGAAATTTTTTATCGTGATGGTCCTTGATGATTTTCAACTGATTTAGAGGCAAGCAAACTCTTGAGATTTCCTTTAAAAAAGTGCTCTTGATTTATGGTCGCCTTGTCACTGGGATTTGGGATTACATAACTGATTTGCGTTGGCATTATGAAGAGATTAGACAAGTCAAATTGACAGGATGGAAAAATCCAATTTGGTTTTGTAAATGAATTGACTACATTGATCTTTATTTTTTCTATGAACATGCGGTCTAAGCCATTACTTGTCTCCCTCGCATTTTTCTCTGTTTCTTACATCAAACCTTTTGTTTTGACTTCCCTCTCCAGATGGAGTGGGAATCAATCCTCAACAAAGTGCAGGTATGCCATGCTCTCTTTATATTTTTAGATGTGTGTTTTCAGTTAATTCGCCGTTGTCTTTTTATGGTGTCTCCCAATGGATGGTAATTGATCATAATATTATAAGTTGCATGTATGCCTCATGTCCCATCTCCACGTTCTAGTTTTGCCATTTTCAGCATCCCATAATATCAAGGATATGTCTGCCAGTAACCCCTAGGATCATGAGTAAGGCACAAATCATTTATTGTTCATGCCTTGTCTGTCTTCAACAGATAACACAGTAGCTTTTATTATCATCCCAATTGCAAGTGATCAGATTTCTGTTAAGATATCATCACTTTAGCTTTAGAAGTGCATTGACAGTACATTAATGTGCTTTTGCGATTTCAGTGAGTTACTTCTCAATTTGTTTAGGAAAAAAACTAAATCGTAACCCTTCAACCCTAGGCCTTGCTCATATGGTAGCTCCGTATGTTAGGAAGTATCTTTTCATGATGATATAATTAAATGATTTGTGCACTACACTGTTGACAAGGATCTTGATTTTTGTTACACGTGCTTTTGACTGGCTAGGCAATGTCTTCCTTAAACATGGTACTGAACTGCGCTTGATCCCCCGTGATAGAGTTGGAGCTTTTGAATGTTGAAAACAGGATTATCATCAGACATAGGAAGTTTTTTATCTTTTTGCTTATTCTGTGTCTTGTTTTCTTCTGTGCCATTCTATAAGCTGGGTTGATAGTTGCCTGTTCGCATTATATTAGTGTAACTGATATGATGATCAATATGAACTGGGATGAAAGGTAGCTGCAACACATGGTCTTTGAATTAATCACAATGGAAAGGTCGCGTTGCTCTTTTTCTTAGTCCTTTCTCTTCCATTTTGTCCAATCCATAATTCCACCAGAGATTTGAGCTAGGGGTGAATGATTATAGGTCAAAGGCGTGGTTACTTCTAATCAGGGCCAATACAGATGCCATGGTTTTAGTACTTTTTTACCTTGACTTAATTGGATTATAGATCTAGGTTATAGACTAAAATAAAGGCTCGTTAGGGAAGTACATGTGCCTCATGGGTTTTTCAGGGATGATTATTTTAAGTTCAGTTTGATTTTAAACTAATAAAAATTAACCAAATTTGTATTTATATTTTTTAAAACTATAAACCGAACCAGCTAACTAGTTCAAACCGATTGTTTCGGTTTGTTTTTTTCCTATCTAAACTGGTTGGATATGTTTCAATTCAATTGTTATTTTCAAACTATAACAAATAAATAATTTCCAATTAAAACTCTAGGAGTGAGTTAAGGTAGAAAACCAATAAAAGACAACAAAAGGCAAAAAGAAAATGTTTTCCTTACCTTGAAAACCAAGTTGTTTTTTTATTACAAGTTCAGTGAACCAAGAATCTTCAAACAAAAAGCTGATGAGGAATTCAATATTAAGTCAAGTTGAGGAAATCAAAACATATTTTTGGAAGAAAATACTTTTTAATCTATTCACAAACAATTCAAGAAACTAATTTAAAACCTTGATCTATGAGTAAGCAAAACAGAAAAAAAAAAATACATGGATTTTTCTCATCTCCAATTGCACATAACTAACTAAGAAATCAAAAATAGAGAAAAGATAGGAGAGAAGGACTGGTGAGGGAAATGTGAGCAAACTAGAAAGCTAGTGTAGAGAGAGAGGAGAGGGTGGTTGTGACCTGTTTGAGAAAATGAAATTGAGGAAATAGGGTTTTAATGAATAAAATAAATCTTTTCTTTGGATTGGAACCGCAAATTGAACTTATTTAGTCTAGTTTAATTGATTTTAGATTTTTAAAATTAGAATTGAACTGAACTGAATTTTTATTTTTAGTTTTTTAATTGATTAATTCAGATTTTTTTTTGTTTGGTTTACTAAGTTAATTTTTTTTGTTTTTTCAATTTAATCAATTAGTTTTTTTATCACCTCTAGTTTCCCACACTGCTGCGACGTGAAAGGGTTGCTCCCGGATAACGTCATTTCTATTTCAGCATTATCCTTGGTCCGAACCCCAGTCATTAGTCGAACATTTTCAGTACCCAGGACCCTTTGCAAAGGTGGAGGAGTGAACTGACTTTCTTGCTCTTTTCGGACCAAAGTGCGCGTGCCCTCTACCCACGTTGAAGATGGTGTGAGCTCGCCGACCAAACTGTACAAGAGAATGTGTTGCAGGTCTCCTCCCAAATGAGGCCATGTTCCTATTCAAGCACCCCGGCAGCATGTGGGCGTTTGTTAGTCTACATATTTTGATTTGACTTGTTATTTGCCTTCTAGCAAGTCGGTAAAAGAGGAGAAATGGCAGTGGGATACCGGGTGCCCCAGAGAGGCGAGGCCCACAACGGTGATATCGTCATAGCAGTCAGTTCATTGGGAGGTTGAGAGAGTGAGGACAAGTGCATCTAGAGTCGCTTTCAATTTTTTGGCTCTTAAAAATTGACAATTGATTCTGATCACTCACTCCATCACGTTCACTATCGTGTACATGTCTCCTAGTAGGGCCAACAACGGGAAGGAGTCCCGCCAGTATTTCCGGGTACTTTCGTCTTGGTGACAGTTGTTTTTGCACAGTTGTTAGTTGCCTTTTGGAGGTTGAGTTGATGCTGCAGAGCAGTAGCAGCCATAAAAATACTTTGGCTCTTGTTCTGGAGAAATAATGTGCAGATTTCAAGCTTTTGGAGAAGGGAGAAATAATACACAGAAGTAAAATCTTCCTCTACCCTTCTGTTTTTTTTTTAATTGAAACCAATATTACAGTCCACAGTTCATTGAATACCACGCTAATACCATTTTTGTATAATAATGCTCGAGGAAATACTTCTTTCATCTTTGCCCCTGCCAAAAAAAAAAAAAATCGTCTTCTCTTCAGAAACTAAACAAGCCTCTTCAGCTTGAAATCCTGCACCTCCGGGGCCTTCACTTCCATTATTATCAATAGCTGTTCAAGTTTCATTTCTCTCTTCATTTCTTTTTCCTTCCCCCCTGGCTGCGTAGTACGCGCGATATGACAGCTGTGAGCGAGTTCATCGATATAAGAGAAAAGCTAGTCCAGTTTGGCTAACGTAACCTTTAAAGTTTTTATAAAAAAAGAATTCTTATACTGGAGGGTAGTTTAGTAAATGAAGATCACTACGAGTCCAAATTGCTGCTTGGGATCCCGCGAAAGTGGATAAAGCGCATGTCTCGGAGAGATTGAGGCTATTCGTGATTCATTCCCTTGCGTGATCTTCGGATAAACTGGGAACCCATGTGAAAAATTCTCGGTAAAATAACATATTTTAAAGATATTATATTTTTAAAAATATGATATTACATTAATATCAGTATTTGTTTTCACGATTTAGAAATATAATATTATTATTATTATATATTGCAATCCAAAACTGTATTAATTGATATTGTAATTCATAACCATAACCACAATATTATTGAAATATCATATTTTTCATTTGTGATATTATTAAAATGTTATTCGCATTTATTTTGAGAAATGGCTCTATGTTTGATAAAATAATAGGACTGGAATCAAAATGGTTGGTTCACTGTAAGGTTTTAGGTTATTTTCGTGTTTTAAACCTGAAAAGATTTATAAAATCATAGTTTTTGTTAATTTGAAATTTTATTTACTTTATAATTTTAAAAAATTAAAATATTTATAATTTTATCAAAATCTGGACAGAGTTTCCTCTATATAAGAACTATACCTAAGATTTTGTCTCATTTAAAAAATCACAATAACTGCAATCAATATATTCTCATATTCCATAATCACAAGTAGCAATGCACGCACGCGTGCACATACACATATGTAAAATGAATATAAAATAATTCAATAATATAATATTCAAGTAATCCCAAAATATATAAATATAACTTATTTATTTATCCATGCATGCATTGTCTATTAGATGATCCAAGTTTATTAGTAGCATTACTGGATTTAACACCTGCTCCTGTGTAAATAGTCTCATCCTCTGCCACGACATCATCAAGTGTTAACATCTTTCTAAAGGTTTCAAGTTCAATGCGACAAGTATTTAACCACGTAAACGCTACGATGTGAACTTTGTTTTCTTCATTGGTACTATAAAGATAAGATCCAACCTCTCGATCATTTCATAGCAAGAAGCCAACATAATATTAATAATAATGTTTAATTAAAAGATATATATATATATATATAAAAAAAAAACTCAATGGTTAACATGTATTAATCATAAAATGAAAAAAACTTTATTACTTACGTGATGTTAAATCTGTTGGGCATGTTGCTTAGACTACATATATTTAAGTAGAGGAACTTGCTTGAGATTCAGAGTAATGATCCGTCTTATTATACTCATGTACCAAATCATATACTCATTGTCAATAAGCATTATATTGGCCTAACCAGTCATAATCATTAACCCTTACAAGTAATGTAGTACAAAGCATCATTCATATTAATATTGATTGGAATGCATTGTCTATAATTGAACTATCTTATTACTCGATCCGAGCAATATAGCTTGACCATCAAAACATATTAATGGGACCATTATTGTCCATATATCCATCTCGATGGTGCAGACAACTAGAGCAACAACCAATCTTTCTTTTGAGTAAGATGTCTAAATGACCTGCATATTATAAGTTAAATAAATATTAAATAATAATAATTCAGAGCAGTTAATTATTTTATTTAATAAATAGTTTCAAAAATACATGGATAGCATGTTGCCTATCAAGCTCACTCCGATAAAATGCTAACACATATGCTAGATTATTTTAAAAAACTAATCCAACAGACCACCTAGCATTAAAAACATGTTAGTTAAATTACATTTTTTAAAGCTTCTAAAACACTATAAATGTATATAATTGCAAAAATAATATCACAATACCTGCATCCTAATAGGAGATGAAGGGTAACCCCTATAGTCTAGATTGTCATATCCGACAATCTTAGTATATAAGGTTTGCCCACATGGAGATGTTTTCATGACCATAACTGATATTAAATAAAAACTTTTTGTTAATTTTTGTTATGTATAAAAACTTTCAAATTTAAATAGTTATTTAGATTTTTTTGATTCATTCATTCAGAAGTAGCAAACATCCCCTGATATGTTTAGTCCATTTCATGCATTCAAGACATAATTATCTGTACAAAGATGTCAATACAGCATATCCCTAGCTATATGTAGGGATAGCATTGAAATTTTTCAATAGCGTCAAATAAAGCAAATGAACATATCTCCCTCTAAGGTTAGTGAATAATACACAAACAAACAGATAAAGTATATAAGCTTTGATATACCAGCAAACAAATTAAAATCATTATCAAGTCAATACAATCATAACAAATAATCAACACTTTTAAAGCATAATTGATTTTCTATCACCGCAAGACCTCCTTGTCACCATCATTTGGTGGTGTTAAAAATGTCTCCTCGATCCACTTAAGACGTATGCTATCCACTTTCAATTTAGAGCGAGGGATAATCCCAATGATCACTTGTATAACACAATCATATTATGAAAATAAGTAGATGTGATTACTCGTCTATCAATAGGCAATTCAAGCAAAACTACCACGTTTTGTAGTGTCAATGTCATCTTTCCATGTCTAAAATGAAACGTGTGTGTCTTACGTTTTCATTGCTTAATTAGTGCATAGATCAAGCCATGGTCAAGCTTAATGTGTTACTAACACATAAAAAACCAGTTTGGATCATGTATGGCTGGACTTGCTCATGTAGTTGCTTTGTCTATGTATATAATAGTAAATAGTGGTTTCTTCCTACATAAGAATTTAAATTATAATTGCACCAAAATATAATATTTAATGATAATTAAA